CATCGGCCAGTTTCAAACCTTTCGGGTCCCGTCAGCACTGGCAGGAAACATCTGCGGCTCCCCGGCACGGCTCCGGGAGGGATGCGGTCGCCCACGAGCCCTCTTGGCCAGCAAATGGCACGTTTCCACTGCGGCTGCCCTCGTGCTGGGTTAGAGCTTCCTGCAGCTGCTCGGCCGCGCTGGCCGCAGACCCCGCGTGCGGCACGGCGTGGCATGGCACAGCACGGCATGGCACGGCACGCCAGCGGGCACTGCCGACCAGCGGGGGGATCGGCAGGGGCATCACCAGGGCCTCAGCCCATCCCTCAGGCTACCTCTAAGGCCAAACCCTGCGGTGGCACAGGTGAGGCTGCGGACAGAGAAATGCAGCACCCAAAGACGGGGACACGCACAAATATTTCAGCTGCTGATAAGCAAATGCTCGTCAGAAACATAATTCTTAAAATCGTTAAGTTGTCGGCGAGATTTTTGTGCTGTTGAGGGTTGCTGCTGCCGACGCCTCACTCCTGTGTCTTGGCATCACACCCAGCCCACGTCGGCACGGGGCGCATCGCGGCAGAGGACGAGACAAAGGGCTCATTGCAGGGACAGAAGCGGGTCCACCCCCAGTCATCCCAGCTGGCACTGGTTGAACCGGTGTGTAAAGCTCTCCCAGAGGGACGTCCCTCCTGCTGCTGCTCGGGAGAGTTTCACACATCAGAACTGGGTTTCATTATGATGCCAGAGCACCAAAGGGAGACGTCAGAAATTACACACAGGATGGCATGAACCGCCCCAATGCCACAGAGGAATTCAGAAGTTTCTAGAATTAAAAATTGTTTCAGAAGAAGTTGCCAGTGATTCTGATCCTATTTCTGGTGTTTTCAGAAAAGCGTATACAGACAGGAGTGGTTCCCACTGCTCTTACTCCCGCAGGCGGTTCCGTGCATCCCCAACCCTCAGGGCATGGCACAGGGCTGCCCATAAGCCAGGGTGGTCTCCCCATGTGTCCCCAGGGACCCGCACATGCAGGGTTACAATTTGAAGATGTTGCTAAGCCTGAAGCAGGTTGTGCTGTCTGCTCTTGCCCAAGCCGAGGAGCAGGGAGGGCTGGGACAGAGCCAGGCATCCCCCTGCGAGGGGTCCCAGCCTTAGGAAAGGGATGAGGTGGCTATAGGGCAGCCCCATGGCGGCCGCCCCATACCGACTCACCTGCTGTTCTGCAGCCATGGATGGGACGCACGTCGGGTGGGATGCCATGAACAACTGCACCGATCAGGAGTACTGGGACACCCTCGTTTACCAGTGCATCCCCTGCAGCCTCGTATGCAGCCGGCCCACAGTGAGGAGGTGTGCTGCCCTGTGTGGTGAGTGCCAGGTGGCTGGTCGCGGGCACTGCAGGGCTGTCCTTGGATGGAGCAGGCAGCGATGGGGCAAAGCTGGGAGGGGAGATCCATCCTGGGATGAACCAGAGGGCAGGCTCTGAGCCAGCTCAGCTTAACAGAGCTTCAAGACGAAAAAAAACGGGGAACGTTGACAGCTTCCCAGCAACGGGCTGTGTCTGGCAACAGCCCAGCACAGACCGGGATCAAGTTGCCTGCATCTCTGAACCTCTCCTTTCTGGGGTCACAGGGAGCCTTCCCAGTGTGGCATCAAAATGCCCCACCGGTGACACCCCACCCTCCAAAGGCAGGGCCTCGAGATGCAGCAGGTTCAGTTATCAGCAGATAATTATAAACTGAAGCTGTATGTTTGCTGGGCTGTACTGTGAGCCCCGTGCTGGGGCAGGCACCGAGGTGCAGCGATAACAGGTGAGGAAGAGGAAAACAGACGGATGTACTTTGCACCTAAACCCTGTACGCAACCCTGTGCATGGCCCCTTCCTTCCCTGCCGAGCCGTGGTGCAGGACTGCTGCACCCTGTGCCAGGGCACTGGGGACCCAGCCCTGCGGCAGGGCGGCACGCAGCGACGAGTCACGTCTCCCCGTGAAGGATCGGAGATGCCACCACCAGGGTCCTGAGCCAGCGCTCAGGCAGGTGTTGGTAAGTCCCAAAAAGCCGTGCAAGCCCCAGGGCAGCAGCAGCTTTAAGAGGAGCAACCAGGAGCTCGCTGCCACAGCTGGGTACAGCTGCGCACATCTGGCTGCGTATCGCACCATCCCCGCGCACAGCTGGCTCTCCCCAGTGTCCATCATATGGCCAAACACCACTGCAGATCCTGTGGATCTGTCACCCTGCCAGCCCCGGAGAGGCTGTTGGCACTTACGGCAGCGTGCAGGGTCTCACCCTGCGCCCGTCAGAGCCAGGAGCTCGTTCAGGGCTCATCCAGGCACGGAGGGCGGTGGGAGGGCAGCGGTTTGGGAGCTTCGTGCTCAAAGGACAGGGGAGGCGAATGCACTCGGGACACGGTGTTTGTCTCCCTCCCCTCCCGCAGAGTCCATGGACTGCAACAGGAGAGCCGGCTCCTACTACGACGAGCTCCTGAAAAAATGCATCAACTGCACCACGGTCTGCGGGCAGCACCCGAAGCAATGCGCCCCGTCCTGCGAAAGTAAGGCAGTGTGGGGTGGGTGGAGCGGGGATGCGGGGCAGGACCCCCCGGGGCTGGGTGGGAAGAGGAGCCAGGGGTATGGGACCGCAGCAGGAGAGGGGCAGCAAACCCCCC